CCCCAGCCCCGGCCGACCCCACAGGAAGCTTCCTCATCTCCCTCTTGGCCCGGGGGAGGCTTGAGGAGCAGCAGGAAGAAAGCCTCACACACACTGCACCGCTCGGCCCGCACTGTCAGAGGAACGCGAAGTCCAGTCATCGAGCGCCGAACAGAGAAAGGGCCACGGAGGCCTTGGGGCCGTGATCCATGCCCAGAAAACCTGCCAGGCTCTGCCTCCAGAAACACGGGGTGTGCTCCTTCCCATCCCTCATTGCGCCGCCAGCTGATGGGCATATAGCTCAGAATACAGTCCGTGAAGCACCGTTTTCCAAAACAATCCTCATACCGGTTCCTGAGAAACACTGTACTCGGCAACACGCCTGGAGCACGCCAGGAGCAACACGTATGTGCGTGTGCGAGTCACCCACACGGCGCACGGGGTTTCCCTCGGTCAGAAGCGTGAGCAAACCCAGGCACAGCCACAGAAGGCCCAGAGCCGTGGCCGGGCGGGGAGGCTGACACTTCCAAGCCTGCTTCTCCCAGAGCAGAGGTGGAGCTTCTCCGGCACCTGCCGTAACTCGTCACTTGCAGACACACCTTCCCGTGGCTGAGAAATGCCCCAGCCACACCAGCAGGTGCCACGTGCGGACTGCAGTGCCACGGGCGTTCACCAGGCAGGCACACCCAGCACCTCACAGGGGCCATTTTCCTAAATGAAGCGCCTACGGACCTCTGTCCCTTCCTGAACTCCCAGGCTAGGGGGGCTGGAGCCCCGTCTGTGTAAAACCAAAGAGGAGTGGCAACCATGGGGTTAACTTCTCTCAGATGATGGGAAGGCCCTCCCTAGTAAAGCAGTACAGCCCGCCGGGTGTGGCTCCGCTGGCTGAGTGTGTCCGAGGCACCGAAAGGCCACGGGTTCGATTCCTGGTGAGGGCACCTGCCCAGGTTGTGGTTCAGTCCCCAGTATGGGTGCCTATGGGAGGCAAGTGATCAATGTTCTCTCCCCCTCTCCATTCCTCTCTCTCTAAAATTAATAAAAACATTTTTTAAAAAATAAAGCAATACAGCCCAGGAGAGGGGAGGGAGGAGGAAAGGGGACACCAGCTGAGCACACACCAGGAACCCCTGGGGGAGGAGCCTGAGCTCACACCCACCCACCTCACTGCCCCTCCGGGCAGCACAGCCAGCACCTAGTTTCCAGGGTGACATTCAAGTGCTCAGCTGGAGGAGTCCCTTGGCTGCCTCAGGCCTCAGGCCTCTGAAGGATTGCCCGAAGGCCCTTCTTTGGCTGACACCCCCCTGGGTCAGATCCCCCTCCCTGCCCACCCCCTCCCGGCACCAGAGCCTGCAGACTGGACTGACATCTCAATCTAAAGTAGGACAATGCCCCCCAAACCCCAAACGATACATCTCAATACTGGCTGGAACACTAAACCTCAGACACAGAATAACTAGCATCATACTGAACGGGCTGCCTAATGAACCCCAAGTGCTCCTGAAACTCAGCACCCTCGCTTCCTGTCCCCTTCTTAAAGTAACGCTACAATAGTTACCTAAATCTACCCTCAGGGAGTGAAAATAAACGCCACGTGGGTTTACCCAGACTCCTCCCCACCCGGCCCCTCGCGGACAGCTGGCCTATCTCCATGTTTTCCTTGAATCCACACGTTTGCTTGGGGCCCGCTGAGAGCCTGGCCCTGGACGTGTGGCTGCAAACCCACCCTGGGACCAGGGACACCCCTCCTCTCCCTCCTGCTGGCCTGTGGTTTGCTCGAGGGTGAAGCCACACGGGGCAGCATGGTGACTGCGGAGGGAGGGCAGGGGAACGGGGGACAGAGGGATACGTGGTGATGGGAAAATAAAAATGAAACACACACACCGACGGGGTCAGCAGAAAACCAAGAAAGTGGCCAAAACGTCCCTGCCCCTCAAGCACGAGCCCCCTCCTCCCGGCCGAGACTGGGGTAGGGGGTCAGCGGGGGCCGGAGGTCCTGGTAGAATGTGTGGTCATATCCTAAAAACAAACAAACAAATAAACTCACTTAAAATACCTGGTTGTGTTGTCTTTTTGGTAATTGTTCA